TCACCTTGCAATAAAATACAACATTCTGTTACTTCTGGTACTCAATGCATTAAGGCACCCAGATCCCTCTGCATATTATAGCTGTGCAATCTCTCACCATTTAGATTATGTGCTTTTTTGTAATCTTTTAATCTAATATTAATTGTCTGGGGGTGGTGGGTGTAGTGCTACACTTTTTTTAATATCATAGAGCGTAAACCTATAGCTTTTCAAGATTGAATGAACATTATTAAATCCTGGCATTATCAGAGGGATATCAGAAAGGAGAATACAAGAAGAAAAATAACAGCTGTGTTCTACATTAGGCTAGGTTTATCATAGTCTTTTGGAAAGAGAGAAGCAAACATGTTTGGCTAAATCTATGCTTGAGTGAATTTCTGTAATAGTGTACCAGGGGATTAGTTTTGTGACTGTACAATCCTTTTGACCTTCATTACTCAAAACTGATTTGACTGAATTTGTACATATACCTCACTACCTTGTCTTGACCACACTGATTGTCATTATACATTTATTTAAAATGGACTCTCCCTGCTTTTAAAAATTGCCTACTCTATAATTTTCTGTATTAGTTTTATATTGTATAGTTTTAGGGTCATATGCACATTACTACTTTTTTACCACTTACCCCTTTTTCATTAATCAATGTTTAAATATTCCTAACACCTGTAACCACTAGCAATTGCTAACATTTACTTATTCCTGAGCAGATGGCTTCTAAAAATGGAAGTCATTGGTGTGTTTAATTTAATGAGTAACTCTCATTAATTGAGCAGCTCTGAGACAATGAGCTTAGTGTGTCAGTCATGAGTACATGACAGTATACATTTTCCTGTACTAAATGAATGAATAAAGAAGATATTATAAATTATAAACATGAAAGCAACAAAGAATAATGAAGAGGATGGCTTAATGAATAACTGACATCTTAGGAAACCAAGCAAGAAGTAGTAGGAAGTTATGTTGCTAGAGTTAGAGAGCTGTACAGCATGGAAAGAGACCCTTCGGTCCAACTCGTCCATGCTGACCAGATATCCTAAATTAATCTAGTCCCTTTTGCCAGTGTTTGGCCCATATCCCTCTAAACCCTTCCTATTCATATACCCATCCAGATGCCTTTTAAATGTTGTAATTGTACCAGCTTCCACCTCTTCCTCTGACAGCTTATTCCATTCGCGCACCATCCTTTGCGTGAAAAAGTTGCCCCTTAGGTCCCTTTTAAATCTTTCCCCTCTCACCTTAAACCTATGCCCTCTAGTTTTGGACTCCCATACCCCAGGGAAAGGACCTTGTCTACTACCCTATCCATGTCTTACATGATTTTATAAACTTCTATAAAGTCACCCCTCTGCCTCCAACTCTACAGGAAAAATAGCTCCAGTCTATTCAGCCTCTTTCCATAGCTCAAACCCTCCAACCCTGGCAATATCCTTGTAAATCTTTTCTGAACCCTTTTAATTTTCACAACAATCCTTCCTGTAGCAGGGAGACCAGAATTGCACACAGTATTCCAAAAGTGGCCTAACCAATGTCCTTTACAGCCTCACTGTGACCTCACAACTCCTATACTCAATGCACTGACCTATAAAGACAAGCATAACAAACACCTTCTTCATTATCCTATCTACCTGCGAGTCTACTTTCAAGGAACTATGAACCTGCAGTCCAAGGTCTCTTTGTTCAGCAACACTTCTCAGAACCTTACCATTAAGTGTTTAAGTCCTGCCCTGATTTGCCTTTTCAAAATGCAGCACCTCACGTTTATCTAAATTAAGCTCCATCTGCCACTCCTTGGCCCATCGGCCAATCTGATCAATTCCCATTGTATTCTGAGGTAACCTTCTTCACTGTCCACTACATCACCAATTTTGGTGTCATCTGCAGCTTATTAACCATACCTCCTATGTTCACATCCAAATCATTAAAGATGACTATTACTTTTAAAGAAACCAATGATGAATTGGACAGGCACAGCGTAACCATTCCAAGAATGACCTGCACTAATAAACTTTGTTAGAAACAAAAAAACTGCAGATGCTGGAATCCAAGGTGGACAAACAGGCGGCTGGAAGAACACAGCAAACCAGGCAGCATCTGGAGGAAAGGAGAAGTCAGTGTTTCGGGTATTTACTCTGCTTCAGTCCTGAGTCTATTTGCAAGGAACTTGAATTCTACCAGACTCTACTTTCAAGTCCTGAAGAACAGTAATACCCGAAACGTTGACTTCTCCTTTCCCCCAGATGCTGCCTGGCTTGCTGTGTTTTTCCAGCCTCATGTTTACACTAATAAGCTAATTAGAGACCAGGATACTCCTCATCATGCCTATGAGGTAGCTAGTGAAGATTAATAAGATCTGGTTTTAGCGGTACAGTGTAGAATGAAAACAGGAGAACTTCAGCTTACAGAACAAGAGGCGGAATTCCAGTCAGCTGAAAGTTGAGAGCCAGTCCTCCACTGGGAGTTGACTGAACCCACTGCATTATTAAGTGTCAATTCTTTTGTACTAGCTCTGATAAATAATAAATACTGTGATACTTATGAAAATTTGCTTGCACCCGTAACGGGCCTTGTAACTATTCAAAATGAGTAAACCTCTTGGTTCTCGCAACTCAGTCTATAATTGTAATTGATTTAGATCTTACAGTTATAGTGAATCCCAAAATCTTACATTACAACCCCCCTCAAAACACACACCCACACATCAGAATTTCTGTAGTATTGAGTTGATTTTGTGGGACACTGGTTCTGCTGAAGTTAATAGAGTAGCCTGTCTTGAATTTGATCTATATAAAGCTGGGAGAAACTATTTTAAAATCGGAGCTCGCAGTTTTACATGAGGGAACGCTCTCAAAAGTGAGATCTCAAAAGAGAAAACAATTGTTTCAGAAAGCAATCATAATTTTGCCTAAAAAATTTTATGCAGGTGCTGTAACCACAGAACTAGTGATAAATAAGGAACATTTTTTTTCTCTCAAAACCTGCTCTACCTGCAGAGCCTAATTATGGAGCAACCTCCAATTTTTCAACTACATAAGCTATTGTAACTGCTGAATTCTGGCTTCACATTTTCAACCTCTTTTGTCTGGAAGGATAAACCTACAAGTAAGTAATGGGCTGGCAATGCTTAATGAACTGAAGTAATTTTCATGTTTTTATAAATGCTCTTTATCAACTTTTAATCTGTATCTATGTTTTATCTAATAATTGTGTAACTTTTGCTTAGTAACTTTAGCAATAGTTATGTAATGAGCTAACCTATGATCCTGCCTTAAAATGAAAGCTTTCCTACTGGTTATCTTTGAGTGGAAATGCAAAGGTCTAAACAAGCTCTAAATCACAGTTCACTGACTGCATTGTGAACAAGTTTGTGACCAAAAGGAAAGCTGTAGATGTAATATTCGGATTTTCAAAACTCATTCAATAAAAACTTCAGTGTGCTACATTTAACAGAATTGGGGCTCACGGAACTGAAAAAAATTATTAGCATTAAGGAATTGTTAAATTGACATAGCAGAGAGGAGGAATAAGTGGATAATTTTCAAAATGGTACCATGTAACTGGTGGTGCCACAGGGGTCAATTTTTTGCCAATAAGCAGTTCTGAATGAGAAGCCATTTTTTCCAATTAATATTGGGAAATTCAAAGCAATCATCTTTGATTTGAACTGTAAACCTTCTTTGTTGTCAGAACACCTTCATTTCTCTCCATGGCATAACCAAACTGTTCACAGCTATGTTGTTTAGAATTAACTCATGAGATAAACCTCGGTTCAGATAATTGTGCCAATGCTAAGGCCACAGTTCTACATCTTTAACACTGTCTAACTTCCTCCTTGCCTCTGTGCTGACCCAGTGATCCATGCCTTTACTTGTAGAATATATTCAGGTCTGGTAACACCTGTGGCAAGGAAAAGAGAGTTAATGTTACAAGTTTGTGACCTTTCATCAAAACTTTAACTTACCACTTTGATCAGCCTTTGGGCATTTTTGCTTTATGCTTTAATAACCACCAGAATCTCAGCCCATATTTTTAACACCAATGTAACCATAAAATTCCTCATTGGAACTAATTTAAAATTAATGCAATATTGCAGTTTTTGTTTAAATTGAATACATATCTGTCTACAAAACATTATTTTTCTGGACATGTTGGCATCTGTTAGAGCTACTTGATTGCGCAGCATTATTAAGTATCTGTTGTCTAGTCTGCTAGAAAGGTCAATACTTTCTGGCTGTGGTACAGCATAGTCTACTTTTTGTATGCTTCAGATTTTCACTGATTCTGCTTCAAAGCATTTATTTTGCTGCATTTTATAATTGATTTGAGGATATTAATCAGAATGTGGAGAAAGAAGAGGGGGTAAATGGATAAAAAGAGAGCTGAACATAGCTAACACTACCACTCATTAACTCAGTCATTACAAAGACTTATTTTTCTATCATCTGATTGGGTAAAGAGACCTGTCTCTAGCAATCAGAATAATCCGGTGTGATTCCCTTCCCCCAGTACTGCCACCATCATAAACCTGCAACCATCTAAAGATTAAATCTGGTTGGATTATACACCAGCTGTGATGTTACACCAGTTCGCTCTCATTTTTTCACTTGAATGTGACCCACATGCTCAGTTCATTGTGCGCTTTGAACACTAAAGACCACCTTAATCAGGACTGAACAACATTATTCGACTTTTCATTGAAACCTTGTGGAGAAGAATGGATGCTGTTTTGATCGAGTGTTTGCGTATGGACAAGTGATTCTTTGTTCAGGGCTTGTTGAAATGTTCATGATCGACTTTCAGATACAGGGATATTCCTGCTGTTCATGACAGTAAATAGAAATAAGATGGATACTCGGCACTTAGTGCTTTTTCTCTTTACTATAGGAAGAACCTTCATTGGGAAGACTCTACTTCAGGCCATTATGTGAACAGCCTTCGCGCAACTTTGTTGGATCAAGTGGCTTGTTCTTTGATTGTGTTGTTCTATTTATTTTGGTTTGATGGAAAAGAGAATGCCCCAATGGTGCTTTAAGAACAGTTTGAGGCTATTCTTTATTTTGTGGATTATCTGCTCCAGCCGCTGTCTCCTTTACTTGGTCAAAGCCCAAAACAGGATCCCAACTGAAACGTAAGTGCCCAGCTTCATTGCATTTTAGCATTTTAAACTGAAAATGAATATATTGTTTTAAGGGAACATTAAGTTCAATCATTAATGCTTGATTTTCATTTTTTCTATTTTGTCCAAAAATTTATTCCAGTTGAACTTAACATGATGAAAATTTTTTTTTTATTTTAAATTTCAGAAACCTCTTGTCAATTGTTGTTCAAAAATAGCCATTGGAAAACATGTTTTTTTCCAACAGTTTCCTGAAAGTGTGTAATATCTAACAAGTTGGCCAGTGTTAATAAATGGTTTTTGAAGTTATTGTGCTTTTTTAAAAAAAAACAGATACTGTTACTATTAGTATGTTAGAACACATTCTAAATATCTTTTTCATTGTTAGTGTGCAAGTGTGGGCTTCGGAATTCGGTGGAGAGCTGAATTCCATTGTGGCAAAGTATTCGGGCTCCTTATTGCTACAGAAGGTCAGTAAGCAGAATCAAGTATTTTATATACTTCTTTTAAACAGGACATATAACAAGACCTCAAACAGCACATGTAGTCAAGACTAGTGATTATAGGGTTCATGGAAGACCTCAAAGGCTATTTAAACATATGTAAAAATTCCTTGTGATGAAAGTTATATTTAACTTATTCTTTGAGCGACATATACCAACGGTCCGAAGTATTAATGGGAGAAATATTGAAATATGATGCTCCAAAAAGTGTATAATCATGTAAATTGAATTTTGCATTTCAGCCTTAATTAACCTTAACTTACCTTTATTCTATTTTCAACTACTGTTCATGATTCATTCATTGGTGAACTCTCTTGTCACTGAATGTCCAGCAAGTACACTGTTTAGTTGGTGTTATCTCATATGGTCTTAAGCCAGGTCCTAATTCAGAAACTGCCATAATTTGACATTAAAACAGCCAAAACGCGGGCAGTCAGCTTCAACTGAAAGTAGGAAAAGGATCTAAGGTAATAGAATATTAGGTATCATTGCTCTGAATCATTGAATTTGTTATGTGTTTAGAAAGCCATCTAATGTTAACACAGCAGACAACACTGTGTAGGCTACTTCTTTGATGGAAGAAATTATTGGTAAAGATTTCTTAGTTTATTGTATAGTTAATGTTCTTTAGCTATCTTATTCAAGCTCTCCTTATTTACACAGAAAACATGTCAGAAATATGTGATATATTATCAGCTTTCGAAATTAAATTGTTTTTACAACAAGAACAATCTACAGGATAGTGCTGTAAAGATCATAGTCATTCTAGAATAGTGACTTAAATATACTAGTTCCCAGAAGATGTGACTACAGTTTTTAACCTGTGCAGTATTAATGCAATAAATCTTTATATTTCTGGGTTTATAACAAGTAATGGAAGCACATTAAATCATTAATTTGTGTTCAGTTCAGGAAATATTACAGTTTTAGTTAAGAATCAAGATTTGACTTTAGAAACAAATGTTTTAGTTTCTCTATTAGCATGTTTTAGTTAAGTTCACTGGAACTATGTCTCTTCAGTAACAGAGTTATTTTCCAAAGCCAAAGGTCCAAACCAGGAAAGCTCAGGATGGAAATCTTCAGGTTATTAGACTTCAAAAGTTCAGATAATCAGACTCTCAGAGGAATCATAAAATTGTCTCTAGTTCAAGAAAGAAACTGGAAGGAGTAAGTAAACATTTAGAGTTAAAGTAGGAGTATAGTTTCTCTGGACTTGAGTCTCTGTATTGTTGGGAACAGGGAGAAGCTTTGTTTTTGATGTTTGTTAAAATCTTTCTAACTATAATATTAAGAGCACGGTTTGTTTGTTTGCTTCTTCTGTGTGATAAACTTTGTGTTCTGTTGTTAAAGGGCCTGCAACCTCATGTGAATATGTTTGTGACTAGTGGATCATCAAATAAGTGGAGCTGCTGTACGAAAATCTTAAAATTCTGTCCGATAATCATGAAAATGTTTTTTGCAAAAAAAAATCACCAAAACTAAACATTTGCTCCACCAAGCTATGTTTCATTCAGTGATCTGACTTGTCCACTGATAGTATCAACTGATATCATAAGAGTTGCTTAAGGAATTATGCTCCATGTTGCCATGCTTCTTGAAAACATTTTGAAAGTAAGTGCAACTTGTATAAACCAGGGGCTGACGCACCAGCAGTCCAGGGTGGTAAATTAAACTGTTAATTACCGTGAGGACTTCGTAATATAATTGTAGCATTTCACCCTTTTTCATCGTTTATTTAAAACTCTTTCCATTCCCTATTGTCAAGTCTCTATTTTCCTTGTAAGAGACAATGCATGGGTTTAGGTTTTACTGGTTACCGTTAGAGCAGCTGTCCCTTCATTCTGCTGAGATTGCACGTCTGAAATGTTGTCCTTCTTAAAATCTAGAACTAGGTAACTGTACATAGACAGGAGATCTGACTACAGCAATTTGCTTTGATATAACTTCAATTATAAATGTAACAGTTGATGTCTCCATCATATGACTTAATATTCAGTAGAACAAAAGAACTTTTTGCACAGCTATCTAGACTCTAGAAATCTAAAATTTTAGCATTTTCCATATTTCCATATTTCCATATTCACCTAGCATAGGTATGTTGTCAGCTAACAAGATGGGCAGAAAAAGGGGAGAAAATCTGGCCTGGCAATATTTATGGAGAGAGAAATAACACCAAAGTTTTGAGTCCAATAATCCTTCAAAAAAAAGAGGAAAAGCTTGCAATCTTTAAACACCTTTCATGGGCAACATTTTCACACACAGTGTGGTTTGTATGGACAGTATAGTTGCTCAGTGGTTAGCACTGCTGCTTCGCAGTGCCAGGGACATGGATTTGCTTCCAACCTTGGGCGACTGTGTATGTGGAGTTTGCAAATTCTCTCTGTGTGGGTTTCCTCCATGTGGCCTGGTTTGTTTCTACAGTCCAAAGATGTGCAGGTTAGGTGGATTGGCTGTGATGAGTTGTCCATAGTGTCCAGGGATGTGTAGGTTGGGTGGATTAGCCATGGGAAATGCAGGGTTACAGAGATAGGGTAGGTGGTTGGTCTGGGTGGGATGCTCTTCGGAGGGCTGGTGTGGACTCGATGGACTGGATGGCCAGCTTCCACACTCTAGGGGTTCTATATACGTGAAATGACTTGCCAGAGGAATTGGTGGATACAACTACAGTTACTACATGCAAAAAACATCTGGATAAGTACGTGAAAAGGAAGGGTTTGGAGGATTATGGGCCAAATGTAAGCAATTGAGACTAATTTGGCTTGGGAACGTGGTTGGCGTGGACTAGTTGGCCTGTAGGGTCTGTTTACATGCTGTATGATCCATGACTGTATGACCTCTGGGCATCCAAATTGCTTCACAACCAATTAAGTTCTTCTGAGGTGTAGTGCTATGTTCTGGCTAGCCACCATTCACATTTAAAAATATATTCAAGTACTATGCAGTACCCACTAGAACTGTATTACAAGATTTAGTTTTTAAAATGAAAAACTTGATTGTATATGGAACAAATTAAACAAAACAAATAAGTAAGTTAACCCTATTAGTTATAACCATATCTGTTATGCAATCAGTTCTAATTGTGTCCCAGGAATTCTCTTGAGTCACATCAATTTTACAGTTATTACTTCTGTTTAAAAAAGAGTCATCAACTATTCTCAGAATTTTCTTTGCCATCCCAGGGCTGTGGCTACTTTTCTAGTTACTTTTTCCAACACAACATTGTTTTTTAAGAAAGTTTGTTCTGAGCAAACAAACTGCTGCTTTTTCCACAGTACAACATTGACTACTGATCTGAAATCTAGTTCATCATCCATGTTGATATCTTTAAGGGTAATTTTTAGTTTTGGGAGGATTAGTAAAAGTAAGTTGTTAAAATGTTGTGTTTTACAGATTGCCAGAGAAAGAATGACCGCTCATATTAATCTGTTTGTTGCTATTTTTGCCATAAGACTCTGTGGAGATCACTGTAGATTCTTCTAGTTTTAGATTGGATAATCTTCTCAGCAAAAGAAAATTAAAAATCCGCTCTTTGTTTCAAGGGGAGAGCATGAGCAATAAAACCTGCAAACCTCCCAAAACTCCATGATCTGAGAACATCCCAGAGCAGGCTACATCAACTGTTAGATTTAATATACACTTGCTTGATGAGTACAGCTCCAAGTCATTCACCATCCTAATTTGGAAATATGTGGCCATTCCTTAAGTATCACTGGGTCAAAATCCTGGAATTCCCTCCCTAACAGCATAATGGGTCTACCCATTGCATATGAACTGTCATGTTTCAAGAAAGCAACTCACCGTCACTACATCAAGGGGAGTTGGGGACGGGCAATAAATGCTGGCCCAGGCAACTAAGCCTATATTCCAGCTGAACAGATTATCGCTCATTTACGCTTTCTTCTTTTGATCTGAATAAGAAAGTTTTAAAATTCAGTGTTCACTAAAACATTCTTTTAAACCAATTTAACTCTATCTTCTAAAGCATGAATGTCTCTGGACTATTCATCTTGCAAGATTTGCAGACAGCATGGGATGAATCTTAATGATATTTTGACTGCATGGCCTTTTCATTCAATTTCTTGTAGAGTATTTTTTCCATGAAGTTTAAGATTTTTCTCGCAATGTTTGTCTCATCCCACCTCATTAACTACCTATCACTTCAGGATGGCACCCCTGTCATCATTAAATGCGAGCCCAATTCAACCACTTTTTGATGTCAGAAAAAAATCACCACTCACTGGATGTCTCAAAAGCTGGCACCCCAGTGTCAGGTGCCATCTTTAAAATCTGGCCAAGCTTGGGTATTGTGGAGTTGCCCTTCAACAATGTAATAGCACAGCAGCCCAAGCATGCTGCTCACAGTCTACAGCTGACATGGTAGATACTTCCTGAAAAATACAGCTTCAATTTTTTGTCCCAATCTGTTTACTAACCAGGTCACAGTTCACCTGTCCTGAGCCACGTCCCATCAACTAGCCTGTACGTTACTGCTAATCTGTCCCCCAGTGGTCACTGAAGGTAGCATCTTCTCACTTTCCAGTGAAGGACTATCACAGACAGGCAAGCATTCAGGCATTTCCAAACATGAGCTTTTATTTAGTCATCAAAAGTGAAAAAAAAACTGAGAGGCTGGAGTGCACATCACAATGCAAATGAAAAGTTGGCATGATGACCAATGACTATTTTATATTTTAATGGCGGTCTGCACGCAGCTCCCATCTACTTCCTCCAACCCAGTGTCATCTTCCTCTTCTGAAAACTACTCCTTGACCTTCATAATCACCAGGAGAGGATAGCCTTCTATTCCTGCAGGTCTCAGGTCCTGATCCAACAGCTGGCACAGTTCTGTTACAATAACCCAGGACATATGGATGCATCAACACTGCACCTTTATTATCCCAAGAAGATAAGTTTGAAGGTGAAAAGCTCTGGCCCTCCTGTAGCTGTGTGCATCCTGAGGTCTCTGC